TGCATTTGCATTATCAATATGATATGACCTAAGAAAGAATAAAATTTTGTATCCCTTATGCTCAATGGTTGATTGTTGATAATAGTTCCTGAAATACTACATTCTTCCATTGAGATGTGCATTCTTTGCTGCAAGAACTATTTAGTTTATGTATTTGATTTAATCCTTCTTCACCCATTTTTCTTCCCCTGTTAAGACGTAATATGCAACAACAATAAAATAAATTAACGGAAATTCTGACATGATAGTGCCGTCGAGGGGCAATGGATTCCAATTAATATTTCGTTATGATAGAGTTTCTTTTCATTTACTAAGTAGACTTACTGATCTGTAAATTGCATATGGCCTGAAGAATGTTCCAAAGATTCTCTTTAAAGCATGGAACCTTCGAAGATATGAGTTTCTGTCTTGATGAAAATTTTGTTGCTACTCTTAAAGTTGATTTTGTAGGATGACTTCTCTTTTAATCCACAAGAAAGGCTTGAACCTATAATACTCAAGCTTTATGACTCTCTTTAGATCTATATCAAATTTACATTGGAAATGGAAGTGGATCACAGAGAAAGGATTTTTCTTTTTACTTGAAAATAACTGAAACACACCTTTCAACTAATTTTTTGATCATTTTCCACTATATTTGAGTAGTTATAAGATTCCCGCCCTTATTGCAGGATGTTTACGAGGCTTCGTAGCAGATTATGGTGTCCCATTGATGGTTCTGTTGTGGACTGCTATTTCTTATATTCCAGCTGGAAGTATTCCAAAAGGAGTTCCTAGGCGTCTTTTCAGTCCAAATCCGTGGTCCTCTGGTGCATTTGAAAACTGGACCGTCATTAAGGCATGAGTTCTTCCGTGGAAATTATTTTATGTTAGGAAATATGATGATTAAATTTCTCTTTATTTCTCTATATTCTTAGTATTTTTGATAAAATATTCAAAATCACCAACAGGACATGCTGAATGTGCCAGTTCTCTATATTATTGGAGCATTTATTCCAGCAACAATGATTGCTGTTCTTTTTTATTTTGATCATAGTGTGGCATCTCAGCTTGCTCAGCAGAAAGAATTCAATTTAAGAAAGCCACCTTCTTTCCATTATGATTTACTTCTATTGGGATTCATGGTACATGACACCCGTTGCTTTTTTTTATCCTTTGCTTTATATAAAATTGCTTAGTTCTTTGACTTTTGCTCAATGCTCTTTCTTTCCCTTGGAAATTTGAGATTGCTATTGTGTATGGGCCTCCTGATTTGCTTGGAAACTGGAGTTGTTCATTAGATGTGACACATTGATATGTTTACTGGATGACAGGTTATAATATGTGGTCTAATTGGAATTCCTCCGTCCAACGGTGTCATTCCACAATCTCCAATGCATACCAAAAGTTTAGCCACATTGAAGCACCAGGTAGAAGTTAATTACAATTGCAGGCTTCCTGTTCTCACTTAGTTAAGATTTACTGTGATAAATGTTGCCAACACACTTTCGTTAGTAGTCTCTTTATTAGACTTAAACTTTTAAGTAGAAACAAAGTACATTAAACATAATGATTGCATGTGTGCTGCTACTATCATCATACTTATATTTGATGATTTGCAGCTACTTAGGAAGCGGCTTGTTGCTGCAGCACGAAGCTCTATGAGAAAGCAAGAAAGTTTGGGACAGGTATACGGAAGTATGCAAGATGCTTACTGGCAGATGCAAACCCCTCTAGTTGATGAGGCATCTTCTTCACAGGTACATGAGAGATTGTGGTCTTTTTGTCGCTCTCCCCTCCCCCTTTCATCTGTATGACATGCTCACTCTTCAGAACAGGAAAAATTGAAAATGGTATCATTCATTTAATGGTTAAACAAACTGAATATATTCCTAATTGTAGCTAGTTCAAACAAAGAAATGGCATATCATGTAATCATCCACCATTGTCTAAACTTTGTGGACAGGGACTTAAAGACTTTAAAGAGTCAACTATTCAATTGGCATCAAGCATGGGGAGTATAAATGCTCCAGTTAACGAGTCAATATTTGATGTCAAGAAGGTAATTGATGATTTATTGCCTGTTGAGGTCAAAGAGCAACGAGTGAGCAACCTGCTCCAATCTGCGATGATAGTAGGATGTGTGGCAGCAATGCCTTTCCTGAAAATGATTCCAACTTCTGTGCTCTGGGGTTATTTTGCTTTTATGGCCATTGAAAACTTACCCGGCAACCAGTTCTGGGAACGGATTTTGTTAGTTTTCACTGCTCCAAGCAGAAGATACAAGTATGAATATGATGTTAAACATTTCCTATCTGTTTTTCCTCTCTTCGGGATAGTTAGTTGCATTCACTGACTTACCTTGCTTTCTTTTCTACATTATGAAATAAATATAAAGAGTTTTGGAGGAGTACCATGCAACTTATGTGGAAACCGTACCATTCAAGACAATTGCAGTGTTTACAGCCTTCCAAACTGCTTACTTGCTTGTTTGTTTTGGAATCACTTGGGTTCCAACAGCTGGGGTTCTATTCCCGTTGATGATCATGTTTCTGGTTCCTGTAAGGCAATACATTCTGCCCAAGTTTTTCAAAGGAGCACACCTTCAAGATTTAGATGCTGCAGAATATGAAGAAGTACCTGCTTTACCATTCAACCTTGCCAGTGTAAGTGTTCAAAACCAGAGCCAAGTTCACCTTCTTATTTCTCTACATGCAAGGGTTTTTGTCTCTTGGTAAAAATAAAGCGGATGATTGCATTCAAGCTATATAATGACAGATTTCTCAGGAACATGACATGTGCATAATTACTTTAAGGTCAATCCACGACTTAGAGTGTGTTTGGGAACCCTAAATCTGTTTGCATCATTGGAAGCAGGCATTCACACTTTCCAATGCATGAAATGAAGAGGCAACATTTTGTATCTTTGGCATTGAATGTCCATTTGGGTGGTTTGAAATGATAACCAATCACACTCGTTCCTTTTATCATGCTTGCTCTGTTTGTGCAGGAAGGGGACTTGAGGGCAGCTTCCTTTGCAGATGATGGAGAGATTCTAGATGGAATAATCACTAGAAGCCGAGGTGAGGTTCGACATGTTTGCAGTCCTAAGGTGATGAGCTCCACTCCTATCCTATCCCAAGAGTTAACAAGTCTTCAAAGTCCAAGGTTCCCAGATAAAGTATACAGCCCTCGGATTAGCCAACTCAGAGGAAATCAAAGCCATGAAGGTGTTGGGAGAGGACCATTTAGCCCTGGAGAAGCTAGGCCATCCAATTTGAGAAAATCTGGCTGAACATACATCCTTCTGTCAGTACTATTATGCTATAATACAAGGATTGCCAGCAAAGGTGGCATGCCGCTCAGTCATTTTAACCTCTGATTGTTGGCTAAAGGGAATTGTTACAGTATAAATTATCTAGTGTAGGATTTTGTAGTAGTGTTTAATTTCTATGATTAAAAAGAAAAAAGTTGTTAGAATGGTTTGGTGGCTATGATTTGTAATTTGTAAGGTGATGCTGTTATGGAGGCATTGAAATGTTACTTGCTTGCTACCTTCTCAACCTTTTATTGGATAAAATGTCTACATTAACCTGTCATTGTTCGAAAAGCTTAAAATTTATCATTCTTCGTTCGTGTAATAATTATGAAGGTACTGCCTGCAAAAGACAAGTTTGGTAGACCAAAATTGAGTTGTTATTAATGGTCGGAGGGAGTTATTCTAAATGGACCATCATCAACCAAACAAATGATCTTGCAGAGAGTAATGCTGTTAATATAGAAGCTTTTCTAACGAAATTTTCCCTGCAAAAGACAAGTTTGGTAGACCATCATCAACATTTTTGGTTATATTTTTCCCTGTATTTATAAAATTCAATTTTATACTGCTATTTCAAAGTGTTCAATTTGATCTCAATTTTTAAGGATGCTGTAATGTTATAATCTTCCCAGTCAAAATAAAGTTGACGTTGTTAATGATTTTAAATTGTAGTTGAAAGACTGAAATAATTTTTAAAAATGGAAACGTTTTATATTTTAATTACAAAAAATTAAAAGGTATATAATAATAATAATAATAATAATAATAATAATAATAATAATAATAATAAATTGTCATTTTAAAATAGTGATGTTTTGAATTTTGAAACAGGTCATTATTTTTTTTAATTTAATGTTTAATGAATTTAGGTTTAAATAGTTACATTTTTAATGGGCACATGTACTTTTAACGGGGATTTAAATTGTTACTACTAATAAATCCTAAGAAGCTCTCATTTTACACAACACATTACATTAAATTTGAAAATTAATACAAAAATTTGAACATTTTAAAAATAGAGATTATTTTTTTTTGTAAATAAATAAAGGATTAAAAAGTAATTTAACCTTAAAGTATGGTGTAAAATCAATTTAGTCCTTAATGGTTTATAATAGTTTATATACCATTAACACGTTCAGTTTGTAGATATTCTAGATCTTAGAAATAAAGTGTTTTTTTTTGTTCGATAGAAAAATGAAAAAAGAAATTATATGAAAGTGACAAATCTACCCCACAGAAAGACTATAATTTTTTTACCAACCTTTAAAACAATGCAGCATCAGAAACTCACAAGTGCCAAGCGCTTGTAGTCAAAAACTGCAGAAATGTATTATGCATGGGAATCTGAAACCTAATAATTCTAGTCTCTGGAATTAGACTTCGACATCTTTGTCATTGTTCATACACAAGGCATTTTCAATGTAACCAAAAACTAAAATTGAAAAATAAAAAAAGACATACGGATCACTGTTATTTCTTCAAAGGTTTATTAATTCTACGCTGAATTATTTGGTAGAAACTACAAGCAGTTTTAAGAAATTTAAGCAATATAGATATGAAAATGGCACCAGCAAAAAAGCCATCGCCCTATTTTTCACAATTTTTTTAAATAACATTTTAAAATAACCAGTAACCATGAAAGCACTGGAAGGCTTTTGCAACATCTTGATCTGCCAAACCTTACACTGGTGGCCAAACTGAATCATAAATTAGGCTGCTTAGTCTTGTTAAATTTAGAACCTGTCATTTTCTCTGCTTCAAACAATATGTGATTTATAAGCCCCCTTGCAGCACTGCAAAACCAAAAACCAATCTGCAAATAAGTAGATACGCATAAATTTCACACACACGAGCCCATGTTATTGTGCAGAGACATCAGAAATGTATTGGCTGGTCAAGGGAAAATGGAGCAAATGAAGAAAAGGGGCCACACTAGGAATAAACGTGGACAATAAAAATATGCACTATAATAGACACAAGCTTACTCATCCTTCAACTTCTGAATCTTGTCAGGATCTGTCTCGTGCTTGTGTTTCTTAAACTGTTGTCTCACCATATCAACAAGAAGCTGTGTGTTGTAGTTCTGTAACAGCAAGAAGGCATATGGCATAATCAGCTTCACACATCTTAGCATCATCACAAATGCAGATGCTTAAACCTTGTTTAAATAAATAAACTTCTTCACAAGTACTTCTCTAGAATAAAATCAAAAGCAGAATAATATAATCTCCTTCCACAAGTCAAAATCAACATATACACTTCATTCATCAACTCTGGGAAGAGTTAGATAAGAAAGTTTCTTCGAAAGTTGAAGTGCACAAGTTACTCTCAACTTATGAAAGAAGTTTATTCATTTTACCTTCTTAGTTTCCTTTTCAAAGTGTAATGAAAAGTTATCTCAACAGGATATGAGAAATGCAGTGCTTCAGCAAAAATAATGCATTAATAGCAAAGCAACAATAGGACGGTAACCCCAATGCAGACGCATACCACGATCATGGGTGGAAGCATAAAAGAAAAAGATGAAGTAAATAATGCTGTGCACTGATATTATCAGAGTTTGTCTAACGTCTCTAGAAAACGTTCATGATAAATATGAGACATACAACTCGATTATCAAAATATTCACCATGGTGGGGATTCCCATATCCTGTACTTAAATTACGTTGACAACAATAAGCTACAAGTGAATCTGCTTGAAAGAAAAAGAGAAGAATGACTCACCCGATTACCAATATATTTAGCTCTTCGTAGGCATTCACGGTAGAGCTATAAAACAAAAGCCATAAAAGTGAATGAGAGATTTCATTTACTTGTTTTTAAAAGGCTAAATTAGATTTTTTATCATTCATCTAAATTTTTGCTTCAATTTGGTCCCTTAAGTTTAAAACTTTTAACTTCAGTCTTTAAAATGCTAAGTTCTTCTGTTAGTTTACTATATCAATTTTATGTGTTTGGATTTTCAGCTTCATCCCACTAAACTCCTTTCAACTCAATTTATCGCTCACATTACTTCTCCATTTTGTGCGTCAATAAAATACAGTTTTTGCATTCTTCGCCATTCCAACATACATCGAAGCACACCTTTTATCAATTAGGTGACACATAACAAATGTCAAACAATGAAACATGTGACTCCAGTCAAAATTACCACTGCTAGTGAAAAAAATAAAAATAAAAACTTTAGGTACTAAAGTCAATCTTTTAAACTTAAAAAGGGACAAAATTGAAACCAAAATCCCTAAAAAGGGAACAAAACGCCATTTCAGACTTTCTAAACTTATGGAAGAGAAGCTGGGGGTAGGGGTTGATTGAATTTGAGAAGAAAGAAGGTTTGGTATGTGACTGACCCTAATAGTATTGTTGGCGAGCTCAGGAGGCAGAGCAGTCTGAAGGGACGGCATGGTACAGAGTCTGCGAAAGAAAAACACAGACAATTCATCCAACAGTTAGAATGCAGAAAAGAAACATTACTTAACCAACAAATTGGGATTCTGGCAACTTGTCTGATACCGATAATCACTAGTTCTGACCGAGTCCTCAAGGTGTGTGTTTACGAGCAAAGCAGAGGAGCATAAACCGTGAATTTGAGATCCGTGCAAAACGAAACAACTGTTTTATGATATTAGAACCGGTAATGAGTGAATAGGATCTGGTGGTCTTAGAACCCAACCAAAATGCACTAAATTCTAGTTCAGGACTTCTTGGATGCTAAAAGGGACTTTTTCTTGCCCCTCACAGTTTCTTCCTGCACTAATTAAAATACCCTTTGTTTCAAATACTAATTCCCCTTTTATTTTCCTGTAAAAATTATCAACCTTCGTTGCTCATCTTCTATTAATAATTAATATTATCTCTCTCTCTCTCTCTCTCTCTCTCTCTCTCTCTCATATATATATATATATATATATATATATATATATATATATATATATATATATATATATATAATATTATATTTTTATACACCGAAATTATCTAGAATTATTGATTTGAAAATTAAATTGAGTTTTAAAATACTAAATTTGAAATATATTTTTAGATTAATTTTTCTAAAATCCATTCCAGAACACCTATTACGGACTATATTTAAAAAAAAAAATCTAAAAATAAATTTTGAATGGAGTGTTTAAGAATATATTTTCAAAAAAAACAATTTGAAAATATATTTTAGAAAATATTTTCCAGAAACATATTTTTAAATGGCACATGCATTATTGTGATGTATAATTTAGTGTTATCAAATATGTTGGTCAATTCAACCTACATGTTTCTAAATTAGTTTTTAAAACCTAATCTCAAATATTAGTATATAACGTCACATTAGTTTCAAAAACTAAAAAAATATTAAATAAGCGTCTAAATCATCATTGGTAATGAATATGCAAGCCATATGAACGTGATAGTTAATTCATAATCATGCGCAATGAATATGCAAGCCAAATCATCATTGGTAATTTCACTCTATTAACTCTTCTATTCAGTGACTCCTTTGTTCCTGATTAAGACGTGGATGATGTCTCTGATGTAATGTTCCAGCGTGCTAATAATCTGATTTGTTTTGGGCCAATCCAAATTAAATCTATTATTAATCACCACTGCTTTGAACTGCATTTTTCTTCAATTCAAACCCATGAAATGAAACCCAAGCTGATATTTGAAACCTATCATATGATATATATAAATACCCAATCAAACTATTACAATGTAGGTCCCAAAAAAGAGACTAAATTCTATAACTCATCACACACAAGGGGAAACCCCAAATAGGGACGAATCCTAAGTAACAAATATAACACCCCAATCACAACCACAACAATGCCTCTCTCTGCTCTATATGCGTGTTACATGATATATGATATATTTCCGATATCAGGAACCACAATTTAATATGACATGTTAACTCCTGCATTCATATGCAGAGAGCTCCACAACTGTATCAGGTTCACCTTCTCTTAAGCAATCAAGTGGAGGTATAGTCATGGTCTCTTGAGTTCCATAAGCATTCCAACAAAAAGGGTCATCTAGTAATTCCCCTTCGTATGGCAAAAGCTCAATCTCAGAGAGTGTTATGTTGGTGCATGCCACAGTGTCACTGCAAGCAAAGTGTATAGGAGGGGTTCTCACATCATAAGTACCCTTTATGTTCCTATATATCACATCGTTTACATGCACTGCAGAAGTTTGGTTGAGACACTCCTTGGACAAGCAGTAGTACTGGTCAATGATGATGCAGTTCCTCACATTCTCCATTTGGATGTTTTCAAATCTTAGGCCAGTCACTGAGCCCGTTCCACCTTGCCATGTCTTGATCCTGAGGCCATTGTCTGATTCCTTTATGATGGTGTTGCGAACAGTTAAGTTTGAGACACATGCCTGGGAATTGTGCACTCCAAGGCTTCCAATGCTGTTGAAATGAAACGACCAATGTAAGCATTTAAGGCAAAATGGCTTTGATGTGTCTAATTAAAGCAACATAATAGAAGATGCTTCTCTGGAATCATGAGGGGCCAGAAATGAAGAATAGAAACTCTTGTCTTCTTAATTATTGGCTGTTTGAACTGTTCCAACTGTTAAAGTAGTATAGTTATATAGATCACCCAAAGAAGAAAATAAATAACTAACTCCTGTGACCCTGACTTTTTGGAGAATTAGTGAGGAGCATTTGAAAGGCGAAACTTTCTATTCTTTTGTTGAAGATTAGTTGGAATCTTAGGGTACAACTTGGAGAGCCACTATATTCATGTCATGGGTGAAAGTCACTTTTCATTCGTTTTGCTTTTAGAAATGGTTATAGGTTCTGTTAACACAATAGAGATAATATATCATACTAATAACAACCCCCCATTGGGTTTATTATTTTTATTTTATCTGTACATCAATCATCATTAATGAGCAGTTAACATGAATTAATTAGCAACACAATTTAACTACAAATTAAGATTTATTATGTGACATACCTAATACCATGGGTAGGAGCACAAGTAACACCCTCTATGTCCACATCTGAGCACCCGGGTCCAATCGAGATGCAATCATCCCCTGTTAAAAAATTACATTATTCCAAACAAATTTTCTGGTATTTATATAAACAGAACCAAACTACCATATTGACAAAGTGAGACATGTTTCCTTGGTCTTTACCGTTGCTTATCATAGAGTTGTATATCCCAACACCCTTTGTGTTTCCTAAGTGGATTCCATCAGTATTTGGACTGAGTTTAGGAGAAGATATTGACAACTTGTCTATCAGTACTCCTTGGCAGCCATCGAATTTCACGTGGAACATAGGACTGTTTTGAATTTTCACCCCCCTCAGCACCAAATTGGAGCTCATGAAGAACCGTATCATCTATAATTAAGAAGAGAAACAATTATGAGACCGTTCATGTGGGTGGAAAAGTTAAGTATAAACAGAGTTGTTCACTCACTGTAGGGCTATCACATGGTCCTGAAACAGTTTTTCCATCGGGGCCCTGAAATGTCAATTTTATTTTACCATTTACTTTAGTTCATTCAACATTAAATAAGTACAACAATAATGACATGGTTTAATTGTTATTATATTATTGGTGAAATGATTACCCTGTGAGGTTTGCAAGGAAGATCCCACCACTGTTCCCCATTGCCTTCTATGGTTCCTGTCCCAGTAAGAGTCATTTGATCAAGTCGATAGAACACAAGCCATTGACTGTGGCTATCTTCCTTGGGCCACGATTCTGGTCCATCTGGTGCCATGAGAGTACCATCCACCTGTTTATATTAGAACCTTGTTAGTGAGATACATTAAAGGAATACAAGAGAACTACACAAATTAATTTCACACCAACGCCACCCCATCCCAAAATCTTAAGGCACTATATATCTTAGTCTTTATCACACATAATTATGAGACCGTTCATGTGGGTTCAATATGCTCATCTTTATTCAATGTGAGTGAGACTTCTTACTCACACTTGCATTCCGACATACATAAAAAAAGAATTAAGAATCAGGAAATTCAACAGGCATTCTTACTTGAAATACTAGTCCAGGCTTGCATGGACCTGTAAAGATAGTTGAAGTTATCTTGAAACAGTAATTTTCTGGAACAAGAAGGACCCCTGACTCTACTGCGCAAGCTGCTTTCCACGCTGCCACGAATGCTTCTGTGTCATCAGCAGAACCATCTCCAACTGCCCCAAAGGATCTTACATCGAAAATGCAATTTGAAGGGGAATCCCCAGGATCATTGGGATAAGGGTCAGAGGGAACACCAGGGGAAATGGAAGGAGGTGAAGAAGGTTTCTCTGGTGTAGGGGACTTAGCAGGGGGACTTATATTCTGCCCCTTGTGATAGTGGTATCTTCCTTCCACATTATCCCAATTATGGATATAAAGAATCATGGTAATCCATAGGATAAAAGACCAGCGAATGAGACTCATTGCTGGTTTCAAGTGTATGAGTTTTGACACTAAACCAACAATGTCGTTTCAATAATGCGAAACCTCCAAAGATGATTGATACCTGTGGATAAGAGAATGCAAGAGTCCAGCTTGAGAAATCTTATAGAGACAAATATAAATGGAGGAGATTAAACTAACTTGTAAAGGGTTGGAAACAAATTGGCCTATAGTAAGAACTATCCTGAAGCAAAGGTTGTTATTTATACTCTAAAGCATGAGGTGGACACGTGTAGAGTCCTGGTTGATTCACTGTCTCTCAACGAAACAGTTGGACGATTTTAGAGGCTTTGGAGGTCAATCTTCTGCAGTAACCCTGCCACGGTGTCATGGTTCTCCAACCTCATTTTTGTGACCAGCTTCTTATTTTAATTGTATTTATTCAGTGTTATGGTCCGTGACATTTACCTTCCTCTCTTCTTGCTTCTTGGACCTAGTTTACCACCACTAGTTTTACTTTATATTTTGTGAATTTGTTTTCAGAAACTGTACTCTGGACAATTTTCAAAAGTGTACGTTCAGATCCTTTGAGGCTCAAGTTTTCTAGAAAGTCGTGCCATTACTGACCAAAATTCTATTACTTTTTCTTCATTTTTTATTCCATTTCTGTTCATTTGTATTTTCTCAAATGAAGCTCACAAAAATAAAAAATGAGCTACTTGTAATATATGGGGAAAAAAAGAACTCTACATCAAGGTTCATGGCATTTTGAGTTTTGTTGAGTCAACTAATTACTTGTCCTAACAATGCCTGTAAGATGTGTCTTGTATGATTTTTCATAGAAAATGCTACAAGCCTATATTACTGACTACTTAGGTTAAAACACAAGAAAAATAAGTTATTTTGTGGTACTAGACCAGATATATTTTACCCTTTAAGAAAAGAAGAGCAATTTAAGTGTAAGCTGAACACATGTTAAATTAGAATAGAGTAGAAATAGAAGACAATACTGTTGAAGAAAATTATCAAAATATTTGTGAAAATGAAAATTGATGTTGTAGCATATTTTGTCCGATTATATGACATCTTTATTCTGTAGAGGTGGCCAAACCGACACATTTAGCTATTGAAAAATAACATTTTATGAGATACTGCATGTGAATTATAGCTATAAGTTAGAACCAGATCTGTAAATAACAGAGCAGCAGATAGCAAAGAGGAATAAAGCTAAACCATAGTGGGAATCGTGAACATATAAAGCCGCATAGGAAGGCACAAAAAAACAATTGAACTTACATAATGAATCACGACCACCTTTCTAGTTTGAGTTAAACAAAATTTATCTTTCCATGCAATGAATAAAAAACTTTCACTTGCTTGCTAGATTAATCAACTGATAACTCTGATTAAATGCTTTAGTTTATCATCCTTGGTGCATTCTACTTACTTTATTAAGGTAATTCAGATATGACAGACATTATTAATGTTCTGCAACACCCATATATATTGTTTGCCACCGTATTATGAACTTGTTCTGTTCTGTTCTGATCACCAAAAATGCAGACGAAGATAGACCATAATATGTGTGAGACAATGGTCTTTTGTTGATATTTTAGTTGAAAAGGATTCGTGAGGAATCAAAATTTGAAAAGAAAGGAAAGGAAATAGTGGGATTAAAATCCATAACTTAAAAAGTACATCAATTGGATTAAATTTTATTTGTCTATTTTAAGTATAACAGTAGTTTACTTTCTCATTATAAACCAAACAAGGTGTGTACCCCTTTTTTTCTTCTCATTAAATCACACATGACTATAAATAGTTTGATAAAAGAAATGTAAAAGAAAAAGAAATGTGCTAAGGGCCTAGGAGGAACACAAAGAAGAATAGAAGGGGGAATGTGGTTTTGATTTAAAAGCAAAACGTATCGTGACTCTTGGTTGTTTTTTAGCCCACTGTGGCTATGAATTGGCAAGGAGTACGTATTTGGTACGCGACAACAGAATTAACGCATTCACGGGTGGAATCAAACCCCTTACGATTTAATGCAAAGAGAAAAAGGAAACAAAGATAGTTAAACAGACATACGAAGAGATATAAAGTTAGGACACCGAAAATGACCCTCATAAGAAAAACCAAAATCATCTTATTATACCCATATCTCTTACGTGCCCATTTAAGCAAATAAAGCAACGTTCAAAAAACAACTAGACTTTGTGATTCACCTGATGAAGAATGGTGCAAATTTTTTCTTCTCCTCTTTATCTCTTTGCCGTAACCATCCAATTAGCAAGTGTACTTACACATCACGAAGTTGTATTGTAACTACGTGTATATATGTCTAAGCAAATATGAGCTGCTATGTAAAATATGTGTAGGAGGGGGGGTTTTATAGAGGAGACTAGCGAAGTGAAAAACACTGAGCAATGTTCATGCATTCATGTTTGTCTTAACCTGTCACGTGTGTACAATTCGAGGGTGAGAGTTCAAAAACAAATAAACCATCGCAATTTCAACAGGGCAAAAGTTTGTGAGTAGAGAGATTCTGGGGTGCACTTTTTTATGGTGCTCTGAGGTGACAGCAAGGTTTGTGGCTCTCTGCTGTGCCGCGTGGAGGGCTCACACACGCGCGTCTCACTCGCGGAGATAGTGGTTGGCTGGTTTAAAACGTGGGTCCTATGTCACCATGATTGATAGGGCATGAGAGAGAGAGAATGTGTGTTTGTGTATTATGTATCATGATATCACAGTTCCAACACAATGTTATAGTCACATGCAGCTCCAACCAGATTCTGCAGAAATCCAAGAAAGAGTGTATGCATGTGTGTGTATGCTCTTTTTTTTCTTTGCTCACTTGGTTTGAGGCCACAATATGATGAGGAGAAAGGAAGAGGGGACACCTGTTACGTGGGAATTCACGGGGTGGTGTTTGTAGTTTGTGTCACGGGCTAATGAAAAGAGGGCTAATTAAAAAGTTTGGGAGATTGTTTTGTTCACAAGGCTTTGTTTTAGGGATTCTAATGGCTGTGATTTTGAGACAGTGATGTGGACAGCGTATGAAGGTTAGGAATAAAACACTGCATTCTGGTGTCTGATTCAGTGACCTGTTAAGTGTAATATATTAGTTTAATCTTAATCTTGTCTGCATTTGCTTCTATCACAGTTTTAATTCAAAGTTGGACCAGCTAGTGCAAATATAGATGTTAGGTTCCAAGTTCACAGGCGTTTTTACTACTAATCTAACTATGGAACAAATCAAATCAAATCACATGAAGCACACATATTTTCTTTAATCATGTTATGTTTTTTCAGAAATTTTATATTGGGGTTCTGTGATTCAACAGCCTTGAATTTTCTTAGGTTATTATACCAATTGTGTACCTTTGTACCTTAGCTAGAGTACCAACAGCGATTAAAATAACGACAAAACTACCATTAAAAGGTACAAAAGAATAAATAGATTTTCATTGATGATAATAGGAAAAATAAATGTTCTTGTATAACGTACAAGATATCAACAATGGAATTATATTTGAAAAAAAAAAACTAAAAGACAATTGAATGTACTTGTTGTATAAATCGAGTTGAAATAATGTATGAGTTACCTATTAAAAATTTAAGATTTGAATTGTGGACGAATTGGAGGGTCGCTCGCTTAATGGACCAATAGAGTTTGGATTATTTGAAGTTTCCAAACAAATAAATGGGCCGAATATTTTCTTGGCGGCACTTTCTTCCTGTACCTGTACTTTCTTCCTGCATCTTTATATATCAAGTAAAATAATTAAAATATCTTTTCAACAATTTTTTTTCAAATCCTAATCCTTTTTTTCTATTTTTCTGCCAAAATTTTTCATCCTCATACATCTACAAATTTTTGTTTCTTGTATTATCACATTTAAGATCATTTCTAATATTAAAAAAAAATTAATATTATATATCTATTACATATTGATATACTGAAATTATATACTAAGTTTCGTATTACTTTATTTAAAACAGTTTTATTATAATCATATTAAAGTCTAGAAATTTTGATTCAGAATACATTTCTGATTTGATTTTTTCAAAAATATAATCCAGAATATATTTTTAAAAATACATTCTGATTAGGTATTCAGAAATATAATTTCAAAAAATTATTCTAAAAGTACATTTCGGATAGTATTTTATGACGCGTCAGAAGAAAAGTGAATTCAAAAATATATTTAAAAAAAAATTTATAGAAACATGTTATGAAAAAATATAATTTAATTTAATTATAATTAATTTCCTAAAACATTGCCCACTATAATTTTGAGTGTAAGGTACTAGTGTAGTTCTATAATTTTATTCAATTAGTGGAATATAATGGAACAAGATTCTTTTATAAATATAATGTGTGTATTGATTTTGTTCCAAGGTTAAAAAAAAGTATATATGTGTCTAACTTAGTTGATTTAGGTAGTAAAAAACTAGTATATATATATGAAAGAGAGTGAGTGAGACGTACCGTTTAATTAGTGATTATGAAAGCCTAAGGATGATATTTGCAGAAGGGGCAGAAAGAAGATGAGTGTTTGCATTCATTTTTGTTTTGAAACCTTGGTGATATATCTTTGAACAGTGCTATTTATGACTGCATGGGCTGCATTTCATGCTTTATACAAGAAATGTATGTATATAAATATATTTATTAAAGATATATGGAGTTTTAGATGGCACAAGAGGCACAATGGGTGTGATGAGTGAGTGAGTGAGAGAGTAATTTTTGCATTAAGCAGTTGCAGGATAGTGACTAGCAAGGAAAAACCTTGTGCCAATTGGTACAATCAAACATAACAACACCTGTGTTTGGTTGATACAGTAGGCGACCATGGATTAGCCGTCAACAAACATTCATCGTTTGGTTTCATGAATTTAATAAAAGATGTCTGAGATGATTCCTCCGGAGCAAAGCTCAACACTGACCATTCACATGCATCATTTTCCATGCAAAATATGTCTTTTATGTCACAGCTCAAATGCTATTCAATATGTTTTTCAATCTATTATGAAATTAT